TTTTTAAGACAGGGACAAGAACTTCACATTCTGTAATGATTACATACACTGCCCGGTTGCTGATCACAAACAATTTCCTTTATTTCTACCTGGATGTATCCTAGTAGTTACTGTGCTCGAATCTTAGGGTTAATGGTTTGCGGCCTTTTGTCGCAAAAATGCGTTTCACACAAGATAATAGCCCAAGAGTTAGCGGTGGGTACTGATGACAAGCTGTCTTCCATTTAGTCTGTCACTTTTAGAGATGGCTATGCGCAGTTACCTTTGCGTTGCTTTGATTGAAAATTCTGAATCAGATAAACAGACTCAACAAATGCTCACGTCCAAGGCTTCAACTGTACAAACTGTCATCTTAAGTCATATCTGGAAACTGAATTATCATAATCACTGAGAAAATCGTTAAGTTCGTGCCAGAATTTTTATAATATATAACATGTGTTCTGATATTTGAGGTTCATTTCCAACAGTTTGCGTTATAATAGGTTTATAATTTATATATGTTCATTGATAAATGATTAATTTGTTGTACCTCTGCTTTTCAAGGTTTATGGGTGTCTGCGTCCACGAAGGCCAGCTACATGCCCTGACTGAAGTAAGCATAGTTTAATACTTTAAATCCTCTATTATATTAATATATATAAAACCGTTACTAATGCAGTTCTGAGTGTGACAATTTACAATAGTAGACAGAAGCTTCACTACCACTATGTTTAATGAGCATAGTAAAGTTAAACTCTTTATGTAACTGTTTATGTTAGCTTTTATATCCTGACCAACTATGACAAAAGGGTTTGTTAGTATGAGAAATGTATTTAATTTGCTTGTTGGCTATTTATTTATTTTTCTGTGTACAAATAGACTTCTGTATTCTATTTTCATACTTTCTTGAACGAAAGGGTCGTCAGTGATCCGTACATATACTAATTTTGTTAAAATCTCGCTGTATTTCGGCAGAAGTCTTCACAGTTATTGCTTGTTTTTGTTGATAATTATAGTTGTTGTATATAAGTTTTAACTCTTATAAGTGGTTCTTTATAAATGCGCACTGAATCGGAAACAAACATGTGTTTAATCGGCTATCTTTATATTTAGTATTATATTTATGTCGGACTCCAGAAAAGGATTTTATCTCGAAAAAAAAGTATATATCAGTAGGTAGAATTTAATTTCTCATACGTTTACATATTTTAAAATGAGAATTATAATAATTTTACATTCTATAAAAAAATTAAAGGTAAATTTTAATAAGTATTTAGACGAAGAAGTATACAACACGAAAAGACGTCGCAGGAAACAATGAAGTGGAAAGAAAAATTATAAAAATATCCGAGTGCTCTTATTCTGTATGAAGCTTGACTTGTGTGTGTATGCTTGAGTAACTAAAACCAATCTTGATTTTTCATTGAAATTCTTGGAAACTAAAATATGATTGTAATTTTTTTTCATTGAGGAGAAAGTCACAGAGAGGCAATTCATGATTGTTCAAACGTTTTAATTATCACCTGCTTACTCGGTCAGAACAGTAAATACGATATAAAACATACATTTCTGGTGCTGTTGAACATATTCTAGTGTGCAGTTACAAAGAAATGACCTGATAAACATAAACACCGGTTTTCAACTAAATATAAACACGTATATGTTTTGTAAAATAATCAAGTTTAACACATTTTCAGTTGTTTGCTTAAAAAACCCTTTTGATTGTCAGGAATTTTATAGCAAAAGTAACAGAGATAAGATTTTAACAATATAAAGATAAGCTTGCATATTATTTGTCTAAATCAATACTGGTACCAATGGTAATAATATATACATGCTTGCTATGTAGAGGGTTGAGTACATTAAATGAAAAATGAAAACAATATCTGAATCAACAAGCCACATGACAACCACAGTCAATATAAAGTTGCTGTGGAGCAGAATGTATCGAAACTGTATTTTGACAATCGTAGGTAGTGTGATGCCACCGAACGTTTATCGCTTTTTGAAAGGAAATGAAACAGCTCGTTTCTACGCAAAATATTCATACACACAGATCATAAAGTGTTTGATCATGAATTTAAAATTTTGAAGAAAGGAATATATCCCTTGTATTTAATGGCTTTAGAAAACAAAGGAATATGGATCTTCTTGAGAGACCAGGACCGTACATAGAGAGACCTGCAACAAGTTGTATCCCAGCCAGGCTAAGCAAAGTTCGTCATCTTGTAATAGATGAGAATCCACGAACACAAAGGTCGGTGGCAAAAGCCGTCCATGTGTCCCGGACAGTACACAACATAATCAAGATGGAATTCACTCTAAAATTACTCATCAGCCCAAAACCAAAGCACATGTTTCATTCCTCCTTTCCAGAGATATGCCTGACTAAAACATCATGGGCATCTGCTTAAGCACGAACGTCATGAGTAAGCCTGGGAAGCCCTGCCCATTAAAAGGTACTCAGTGGAGCTGTGCCACAATACCAGAATGTGTCGACAACTGTCCTATTCTTGGCAGAACATGCACTTGCCATGATACAGACACTCCAGGATGAAATACAGCCACTGCAATTGCTGATGGTGGAAGTTTAAAGTTACTACCATGAACCTTTATCAGGGTGAGAATGTCTCTCATACCCAGGTAATGCTGCATTATCTTCCTTGGTATGTCTTCAGTAAACTTATCTACGACGATATCCTCACAATATGCTGACACCGTTGTAGAATTTGTCTTCCCATGTAAACAAACAAATTATCTGTGGGACCACACTTTCAAGCCTTAGACTCGGCTTGATGGATAGCTCAGTTTTCTCTTGGTGGAAAGTCAGTGCAATTCAGCTACGACTGTAACCTAGTTACAAAGTTGCTCGTTGCTCAAGTGCTCGACCTAGTTGAGCATTGGTTGTCCAAATTAAACATCGGACATTCCCTGCAGTTATCTGCTTGAATGCATCAAGAAATGGTCCAAGTCTTCTTTAGCTGCTCCCTTAATTATCAGATGAGAAACCCATTTAGCTTTATTCACAAATACTTGTGGTTGCAGTATCAGTTCCTTTCTTATGAAGGCTTGTCTAGCACCAGGGTGAGATATTCTAAATGTCAGTGGCTGCAGATGAAAGTTAAATCCCTGTTTATTGGTCACAGAATGACAAGTTGTTGTGGGCAGCTCATCTATAGGCCTTGAACAAACCAAGGTTTATCCATAACCCATGCTTGCAGTGGCATCACACCTTCCATCATGGACAGGCTCATGACTGCCCCATGGATCACGATCTTCACCAGTTGTTGTGTGCTGTTTCACCTGTTGCAAGAATAGTTTGAACTCGCAGACGTTAACTGCCACTTGTACCTCCAGTCTTTTTTAGCTAGTCTTTGGTGTAATTGAGTAGAATTGGGGTTGAATTACCGAAGTTGGTAAATGCTTAGGAGTTCTATAGAAACCGCCCAATTTTGTCTCAGAGTTGTCTGATCACTTGTCACCATGACGACTCTCAGTTGCCCATGTTTCCTGTGCACTGAGATATATCCTTATTGGAAATTTTCAATTGTTAGTTTTGGGTCCACCAGATTGTTCAGATGCAGTGAGATTGTGGTCATGGATGTTCACACAAAAGTGAAAATCAGGAGATCACTTCTCTGAGATCCAGTGACTTTCTCAGATAGTTGAAACAAATCCTGGTTACGATACCATAATTTCTCCTTACTGCCTTACTCTGAGGTAATCTTAAATACACTGTTTTTTTATTCAGTTAATAACAGCAAATAACAGGAAGAGCGACAAGAAAATATATCACGAAGTTAAACTGAGTTTAGACTTTACTGAATTCAAGCAAGAAAGACACCGAACACAGTATATAAATAAATTTTGTTCAGTAATCAAAAACAAAGTAAATTAGGGCACTCGACAGAAGACTGTTTTTACTGGAGATTGAATGACTCTAGACTCTATATCTTTTCCAGAATAAGACATTTTTTCTGAAGAACGTATTATTTCAGATTAAGAAGATACAGCATTATATACAAGAATCTATAATGTCATCCCTCAGTGTGTATGCACTACCCATGCCACTGTTGGTTATTCCAATAGAAAAATATGGGGGTTGTCGTCAAGATATCACCCAACCTGTCACTGGTAAATATTACTGTCAACATTTACACAGTACATTCTACTTTACTATGATATTTTCCATTAGAGAGCGCAAATCACACCAAGGAAGAATGACCCAGAACAATAGGTAACTATAGCGGAAGGAAGTTAACCACATTCCTTGACAAGTATTATGTTGTCAGAATTACCCACGTAGCTAGAAACGTATATTATGTACGAAACCCAAGGTGCGGAACATTTTTAAAATTCTAGATGAACATTTTGCGTTCATCTGACTAAGTAAAACCGGAAGTATTAGATATTTGTTTCCATACTACGTATGTTATAGCATACTTTGAACTCTGTCGGCGTATATCGTTTCTACGTTTTATTAATCATGGAGATAACAAGAAGAGAGTTATAAGGGCTACTAGCTCTTCATACAAAATACTCCACGGTATGTGCACACATTTATAAGCAAAGTTTATTTTCGTTTACGCCCCCTACCCCTACCATACAGAGTGGCTGTGTCACTACAAACAAAATGTGTTAAATTGTCTCGTATAATATATTTAACAACTTTTTTTCTGCATCGTGATGTCTTGGAGATTTTGTTTTCCTATTTTGGGGAATCTTTATTTTAAATATTTATTTCTTAGGCTCCAAGCCAGTTACCGCCGAGCATTACAAGTAACTGGTCGTTTGCCAAAAAGATGTTATTTTACATGGACTAAGGCGACTAAAATCCTCGTTTATTGCACTTAATCCACGTGTTGTTGCTGACGAGCACTGTAAATGTAGCAAGGTTTTGTAGTCTTGTTTACGTTAACGAAGCGTTTTTGTTTTTTTCTGGTGGTTTTAAAATCTTGTTGGGTAGATACCTGTGAGATTACAAAACACCGTGTTTCTTTTTATTAGAAAAAGGAGTATGATCTTTTTTTTTAAATCTTCTTTGTCGATCCAGAATGATACATTATACGAATCATACAGTGTATACATACTGTACTGATTCTGTTATACATTTTGTTCATACAACATTCAGACTGCACATGAGTTATAAATAATAAAGGTTTGTTACATCGTGTAAAATGCCTTTTCATAGTCACAAGCACAGACATACTATAGCAGCATATATGCCGTTTATAGAGAACACACGAGTATTGCAAGTTTCTGCTAGCTAATACTGTTGAACCAAAGTATTTTAAGGAAGAGAATAAAACATGAAGACAAGTATTATATATACTGTATATTAAAAAATCGCTACACATCTATCAGTATAGAAGTGAGTAATATTTTAAGCAATCGCGGAATGGACGTGTTATATGTAATATTTACTTATCATACATGGACAAGGCTATATTTACTGTTGTGTTTCATTATATATGTATATAACAACAAATATGACATTAAAGACATCGTTTTTACCCATTTTACAGTCATCATGTACCTACGTCGATCGAAGGCCAACGAGTCAAAAACTATTTCGTGTTCTTGAATGACCGGCATGCTAACTGGAGTATTTTGTGGAAAACATTTATGTAAAAAAAATACTTTACTTATTGCTCAATATTTCGCCCGACAGCTTTATCAGGAGCTTAACTTGTTAGTTATACTGAGTCAGAAGAAAGATTCGTTACGGTTTAACATAATACACATGGAATTCTATTCACAAAACACCGTCTTATGGTAACTAATGCTGTATTGTTATATTAAAGTATAATACATTGTAGAGTGTAGAAGACAATATTTATACATGTCATCAGGTTTAATGTATTAATGTAAAAAAGATTAACAGTAAAATAAAAAGTCAAACTAAATGTTACTTGTTTTTACTGAATTACTTGTACTATTTAGCTCCCGATAGTGACAACATTTCGTTGTTTCGTAGCGCTGTAGCGTAAACCCCTAAACCCATTTCCTAAGCTTCTTCTTTTTTGTCAACGTTTAAGAATGAATAAACTGTTGGGTTTAAATCGTACCAGTAATAGTTAACATTAATTGGTGATCTAAAATCATCTTGTTTTGTCGTGTTACTTAGTACTATCCACTGGACTGAGCTGCTTTAATGCTAAATTTCTAGTGTTTGAATTCCCCTTCTTGCTACCCCATTTCTCCGGTGGCTCAGAGTAAGTCAGAGGTCTTATAACACTAAAAATCTGGTTTCGATACCCGCGATGGACAGGGCACAGATATCTCATTGTGTGGATTTGTGCTTAACAACAAACAAACAAAAAGTAGCAACTCCTCTCGGGACTACATATCTGAAGATGGCAGATCATCAGTTGAAACGTTAAAAGTCAAGATATTTTCACCTAAATAAAGTTCATTAAAAAGGTAATTATAGGCCATTACTTAAGTTCTACTATGTTCAGTAATCTGTAACCGTGACTATCATACCACTAGTAATGTTTGAAATACTCATTACTTAAAGTGTGAACTAACTTTTAACTATGGGTATATTTCGGATTCGATCTGGTTAGACGTAATCTAGTACTTAGCGTGTTCAGACTGTGAATCTGAGGATTCACGGTTCGCGACCTGTTGCCGCAAAAAACGCGCTCAGTACTGTGGGCCCGTGGATGCGCTATGATCATATCTCACTCTATTCGATGAAATGAGTAGCGCAAGAGTTGATGGCACGTGCCTTCCATTCTTATCTATCAGTTCAAAATTAGGACACCTTTACGAATCTAGTCCCATAACCTAGGAAATTCCAGTTATCGGTGACTTGTAATAAGCACCCACGCATTAATTCTGTAAACGGGTTCCTTGGTATAACACGAAAATCAACACTGTGTTGCATAATCTCGGTTGATATTCAAATTAATCCATATTTCATAGGCCTTTAGTACACGTTTTTTTTTTTCATTCTTTATCGTGAATAGACAATAATTATTTGGTAACGCAAACACTGTTACGTTATTTCTCCATAACTGCACTACATATGTATAAAAAAAAGGTTTACTAGAACAGATGTGTAAGAGGTTGATGGTTGATACATTAACTATGTCGAACAGCCTGTTAAATTGTTTAGGTAAGGGTTGCATAAATTTAAGTTTGTCGCATTATGAGTGCATAATTTCAAATTGTTGATCGGGGTCCTATCATCCTATCACGTGGATCAATTTTTGATAATTAAAGACTGATTGATCTTTAACTCTCCAGATCTTTGGTTTTATTACGTTAATATAGGTAAGCTACAATTATAAATTAACTTGACATGTAAACTAATAAATATGACAAACGGAGCATTCTTATGAATGAAATTTGGAATTAGCGACAGACTTCCATTAAGTCTCGTATATAACCATATACAAGAAATTGTCTCACCTTCAAACGGTAATTCGTGGCATTCTAAGTTAGATGGATTAATTGCTAAGGGTGGGAACATACTTTGACCGTGATTCGAGCATCTAACAATTTCTTGTATATGGTTATATACGAGACTTCGTACAAATTATAGCAATGTATAATCCAAAATATATTTCACTACTGTGTAGCAGGTCGCTGAAGTCACCTAATTCTTACCTCCTGATTAATCACACGGACATCTATATAAATAATACGCTTGCATTTGTCTGTTCAGTACTTTTGTCGCAAATTTCTCGGTTAAACGCTACAAATCTCGTATCGTTAGAAAGGCCTTTGTTTGAAGAGTCCAGATTGCATATTGGTTTTTTCCATTTAGAATCACATTACTTGTTTTTTTTATTTATTTTTTGCTAAGTCAAACTTTTAAATGCAAGGGGTATGCTACACTATGGCACAATGTCGTTGTCTTCTGGTGACGACTGGTTTGGATTTCAACTTTAGTTTTTTATTTGCAAAGTAATTCAAACAAACAATTAGCCCACGTGTAATTTCCTTAAAAAAATTGAACATTACACTAAATACAATTGATATGTGCGCAGTTGGTTCAAAACCATAAAAACTTTGTGAACATGCATTCAGATGTATCTGCATATTGAGCTAAGTTCGCCTTCATTACAACTTTACATTTACTTTACTTTGTAATAATTTAGCCTTGTTTGGTTTTCTAGTCTACTGTAAACACCTTTTAGTCAACTTTTCTTTAGTATACGGGTTTTATTCTTCGTTTTTGCCACTTTCTTTGTTTCAACTCACAAAACTGTGTCATACACCGAACACTCTTAACTGTTTCATACTCTGTACACTATTGTAAATACCATTACTATACTTTATTGTTTACTTTACGTATAGTTTTATTAAACAAAGTTCCGTCTAAGTGAGTTTGTTTGTCTGACCACGTAATTTTTTTTTTTCAAATACACCAAAATTTATCGATCTAACACACAATGCCTGCAAGAAAGTGTAGCTTAAATGCCGTGCTTGAAAATGATAGAATAAGGAACGTTCAAGTGAAGGGCATGAAAACTACCCCAAATGTTTTAAAGTTATGAAGTAAGCTTTGAATCGCGTAATAAGACAATGCACGAGTCAAGGGACGGATGGAGGGCAGTTATCTCTGACCCTCACATTCACCAAACCCCACAGCAGTTATTCATCATTTCTGATTTTTTATTTTTTTTTTCGTGTTTATGCAAGTAAACTAAAATAACTCTTTGATCGTAAGTGCTTGTTTTACGATACGAGATGGACCTATGTGTATTGTGGAGGATATACTGAGATGCTACATATAACTATTCCGTTTGGAGACATGCACCTACTAACTGGGTTAATCTGATAGCTATACAACAGGTCAATGTGTTTCATAAAATTTTTGAATTGAGAACACGAGTTTAACACACAAGGTAGTCACTTTCATATAATCGAAACGTTGTGCCGCCATTGTTTGTATAGCCAGTTCGATAGATTTAAAAGTTAATGTTTTTGACTTGTCATCTTTACAGAATATAACAAGTACTGCCAGTTAGGACATTGTTAACTCGTGATATAATTTTGCTTACTTGGAATGTTAATCTTTTAAAGTACATTAACGGAGGGAGTCTGGAGCAGTTAAACTTGAACAAAAACGAAGCCCTGCCGTGGCCAGTGAGACTCAAGTTAGCGCTCGACATCGCCCGAGGGATGACATACTTACATTCACGAGGAGTTTTTCATCGTGATCTGACATCCAAGGTATGGTCATTTAACTAGTGTATTTATATACTTTGCATTATTTCTTTATTTTGTCACAAAGAACATCTATTATAATAATACTCAGTTTTTGTGTGTCCTGAAAATGCGCGCGCACTTGATGCCAACGGATGTAAACAAAAGACATCTTGTACAACATATTAAAAGCTTATCAAAGTAGAATAACATAATACGTTTATTTAATGATAACATTAAGTACAGTAAAGTTTAGTCCTAACTAAACGAAAGCAAAAAACGTATACAAGATACAGTGTTATCTCTTTATCGAATATAGGCCGTAATTAATAAAGGCTTAATTAATGTTAGGGCTAAGAAAAGTGGACTTGCACATTTCGGTGACTACGTTTGTATTATTCTAGAAATATTGTATTTAAAGATGTACTGTTGGAATAAAGATACTAACTTGACCGCAAATGTTTCGCGGGTCTCTTCTAGTGTTAAATAATACAGTATACATATTGCGTACACTTGGAAGAGTACGCGAACGTTAGTGTTTTAGTACAAGAAAACAACAATACTGTTTTGTAAATGAATGCATGGGCGGCCGCAGGAAGGGGAAAGAGGTGGCATTTGTCCCCCTCACATTTCACCGAAAATTGAACATATTATGATGTAAACTTAACATCGTAGTTAAACTAAATATTTTTAATAATTTTTATTAAAACTGTAAATTTGTGTTTGCGCTCAACGACCTTAAACACATATTATTTTAGTTTGTTGACGTACACTGTAAAAGCTGATCCCCTACATAGATGTTTTGTCCTCCCCTGAAAATATTTCTGTGGGCGCTCATGAATGAATGATGTGTGTTCATACTTTTACTTTCTATGACCAAGGATAAATAGGTTTGAGTGAGATTGTACTAGATTTTGTTATTGTTCAAAAAGGCGAGCACAGCTTTTATTTTATTGTTTTAAATAATTAAGTAGTTGTGTGATCTGACTAATTTTGAGAGGAAAATTGCATACCCAGCTCTGTCCTTAGTGAAAGCCCGACAGATCCAATGAAAGTCTACAAATAAAAGTGAACTTTCAGTCCATAATGGGCTTTCTTTTTTGAAGCTCTTGTAATACATTTTAAAGTAGACTGCACTTCTCCGTCTTTCTTTTCATGAAAACATGCGCAAACTGGCTAAAAATGAAGAAAATCTCTGCGAGGATTTTCAGTAGCGTTTATTCTCCAAGAAGATTGTTGTGAGACAGGGGAAGTGGATCGGAAGCGAGGGAATGTGGAAGCTGAGTTGAGAAACTTGGCAGAAATGGCAAAGCAATTGCGTCACTTCTTGTTCAAAGCAGCCCATTTCACAGTAGAGATGTGGTTAAGATTTTTAATGTCTGAATTTGGTACATTTAATGCATTAAATATAATAATAATCTTGAATTTTGCTTCCACAGAAAATTATATTCTACATCAAGAAGTAAGAAATATTGTAAAAATACATCAGTTATGAAATAATTCTCTAATTTAGGTTTATGCACTTATTCTAACCCTAATATAAACCGGAAGTTAAATGGTGTGAATCAGAAAAGAGAGGGAAACTTAAACAGCAACAACATCTTTAATCTCCACATTGTAGCTGGATATTTTATTACTTTATATTGTGGTTATTATGGGAAACAAACCAAAATGCTGAACATTTTATTTCCAATGTATGACTTGTAGAAATATATTCTGGTGTGAGTTTTCTTCAAACTCGACTAGCCTGGCATGGCCAGGTGGTTAGGGTGCTCGATTCTTAATCTGCAGGTTGTGGGTTCGAATCCCAATCCCACCAAACTTGCTCACCCTTTCAGCCATGGAAGCATTATAATGTGACAGCAAATCCCACTGTTCTTTGGTAAATGAGTGGCTCAAGAGTGGTGATAACTAGCTAGTTTTTCACTGCTAAGTTAGGGATGGTTACTGCAGTAATTATATATGGGTTATTCGATAATTTTTTTTTCAATATATAGAAAAATTTAATATGAATTTGTTTTGCTTTTGGATTACTAATCTTGCCAAGTTTGGTCTGGATCGGTCAACTAGTTTAGGAGATGCATACACAGACAGAAAGTTTTCCTTTATTGGATAGTTACCACACCAATATAGCTTAATGTGTATAACACATATGTAAAGTATGCTTGTACCCTGATTTTTATACTAAGTGAAACAAGACAAAGCTGAATAAATTACCACTCAGTAATGTGCATTAACGTTGTCTTCCCATTTTAAACAGAATAATCAACTTTAAAAGTATTTATAAGTGACATTTATTTCAATCATTGTCAGTGGGGAAAAACTGCTAAGAAATACTAATTTTAGGAACCTATTATAGACTATAACAAAACCTATAGTGTTAGCCTACTTCTCATATGAGGGAATGGATGATTGATCTCGGCTATCAAAGGAGTATCACAAACATTAAATTGTTCTTGTATTTTTATTTATAATACAGAAAAAATAAAGAAAAATAAATCTATCTACCAAATTTCAAACAATTGGGCCAATAATCAGTACAGGAGGATTTATAATAATGGTAATTCAACACATCATGTTATAATGTTTAATAGAAAATTTAGACTATGTATCTGTTATGTTTGAATTTTCTTTATGAGTGTGATATTTTCAGGTAAAAACTGCTTGTTTTCCAACAAGTATCAAATAGACAGATTCTTTTAGGAAATAAGGAGAGTGATTCTGATCAAATAACATATCTTCCTAGTGTGTGTGAAATAATGAAACTGGGCAAAGTGGAAAAATATGAGAATTCTGTGTTATAATGCAGACAAAGAAAATGCACAATATGTACTTATGTACATGAAAAGACAGTCACTTCTATTAGGCTGTGCTTGGTCCCACAGCTTTCTTTCTCTCAGGATAGACTTCCACCAAACTAAAATCGAGGATCTTAAAAGTAAGGTTTTACTGTATAACTTCCTTGTAGAACTGGCTAAAGTAAGTATGCCACAATTCAACAGGTTAACTTGCTTTCTTTGTCCAGTCAATATTGTCACATCGTTACCTCTGTTTCCTCACAGTATTAGTTGGCTGTTACTTTAAGTCAACGTCATAATCTACCAGAAAAAGATATTACAGTGCCAATCTTTTTAAGCCGGATGTTGCATATTACTGTAAGATCTGTTCCAACAGAAGATGCTTCTATGATAATAGTGGGTCTGTGTGTGTGACCGCCATAGCTCAAAGAGGAAAGAACCTTGAAACTTGAAATCTTGCACACATACCGAGTAGACCCTGAGGGTGTGCACGTTGGTATTATTACTTATGTGTTTGCACATCTTTTTATGAAGCAAGCTAGCAAAAAACCACAGAAAAGAAGTGGTTCCTTATATAACAAATTTTAATATATAGAAAAGCCAGTGTGTTTTGGTTACAATGCATTCCAACAATGGCTTTTATGTCATGTTGCTTAGCAACAAAAGTATATAAATTATGCCTTTATTTTAAAATGGGTTTGGAATATCAATCTAATAACCCGAGCAAAGCGGGTACTTTTGCTAGTCATTTAACATAGAGAACAAAGAAATGAAGTAACAAGAACATGATAATCTTAATGACATTCTGGACAATATGTTGCTTTCATTACAGTATGGAACTAAATAACTGAGAAATTTGATAATCTCTATTGCTATAGCAGGTAGAAAATATATGATATGCTCAAATATCATATTTTTCCTCCCATCTCTCTCTCTCACTCAGGCTTGTCCTCAATCCAACAATTAAGCATAACTTTAAAAGCAATCACCTTTTAAATTGTGACATTGTCAAGGAGCACCTTAATTTTTTTCCTAAAAACACTTGCACACCACATGAATGACACAAATCAAACCCTTTAACAAAGAATTACTTTAAACTACAAGACAAAACCATATAACAAAGAATTACACTAAACTACAACAAGACAAAATGCTGTAAAAATACGTTATTAAAGTAAAATAAAAACTCTTAACTTTGACCCTTAAACATTGCAATACTCAAAATCACAATTATTTAGTTATACTTTAGATGAATAAGATGTTCAATAAAATGAAATGTACACTATACTCTTTAACTCTAAACATAGCAATACTTTTTAGTGAAGAAAATGCAAATCCCAAAAACAAAAAGTAAAACTAAAGAAATAAAATTCAGATTTACACTATCCACTTCAAGAGCGGGCAAACTAATACAAAAACTCAAATAAAATGAGAAAAACAGAATTAATATCCTTTAATAAAAATAATTTTCTCACCTGATGATAGAGGGAAAGCTGTGGATACCTACCTGGCAATCTGTGACAAACCAGATGAGGAGTTGCAAGAACTGGAAGTGACAACCAGCAAAAGAAATACCAACATTCACCTTCCAATAAATATGGATGAGATTGATCATCAAAGCTGGGACAACCACTAAGTCGAGAGCCTGATGATTGCAATGGAAGTGGAGTTCCTTGCTTTCCAAACTATCAGGCAATGCACATTGTAATGTATGCACTATATTGTGGGATTTCCACTTGATTATTACAAACTAGACTGGTCTGATAATTAGTAGACTTCTGACTGAAAAGTTGTTATGACTTCTTGCTTTCTGAGCCATCAAGTAATATTGGGAACCTAATGTATGCACTACATTGTAGAGTTATTGCTCAGACTTCAAGGGCAAGACAATCCATAGTTTGCAAAACTAATAATTGAATGGAAATAGCGTTCCTTGCTTTCTCAGCTCTTGGTAGTAAATCCTGGTAGAATGTATGGTCTTCATTTGCAGCTGCTACTCTATTACATAATTGAGGACAATCACTTATCTGTATGATAATGGATTGAAAAGAAGTGGGACTTCTTGTTTTCCAAGCTACTGAATGATATTGAAATGTGATATATGTATTACATTCTGGAATTATCCCTCTATTACCAACAGTTAGGAAGATCATATGATTGAAATGGTACTGTGACCCTTTGCTCTTAGAGACGTAGAGTATATTTTAAGATGCAAAACATCATTTGATGTTTTGTGAAAATCATTCCCTCAGTATAGCTGAGTGGTGAGATCTCTGCAGTATATCACCTAGTACTCTCTAGATCTCTCATCAGTATTTGTGGAAGATAAGCTCAATCTACAACCAACAAGAGAGTCCATCTTTTTCTGAAAGTTTATTGGTGTACAGTAGTTACACAAGTTTAAACTTTGTAAGTAGACTTTTAGTTCATAAATCTTGATTCATCTTGTTTTTTGGACAGGAAACAGTTTATTTTATGTGTGGCTTCTATAACCATGTTACATGGTAGTGGCAAATTTGATCTTGTCTAGACTAAGCCAAAGAACACCACTTCTGTACATTGAAATACAATTATTCCCTTCACTACATACACTTGTGCAGTCTGTTGTTCTTGGCCAGCAATCGATGGCATTCCCATGGAACATTAATTTACCCATTGCACAGGCAAAACCGGATGATTAGTTCTACAGTATGTCCATTCAGAAGATGCTTGTTCTAGACCTGAGATTGGAAATGATTGCTTTCATTCTGTGAGTGACACAATCTAGACCAAGCAGAAAATGTATCTCTCCTCTATCATATAGTCTATTACCATTCACCTGAATGAACGCTTTATTCACTGGCCATTTGGAGAGCTTAAATAGTCACAAGTTCTATTAGAGTTTTCACCTGCCCTGTGTCTGCCAGGAGTTCAATTTCTCACCCTGATCACCAAGTTACACCCAACCCTGATAGAGCTGGCCTGACCACTAAACTCTTTGGTGCAAGCTATCTATGTTGCTTCCCCCATGCTTGTAGCTAAGCCCAGCTTTGGCTCTGTGAGGTTTCAGGAGCATTTTTCACAGTATCTACCACTTGTTGCTGGTCATCTCGGATCTCCTGTTCTGGTGGCTGGTATCAATACCTTTGCCTACTCTGATGCTCAGCAAAATGTTGACGATAGGTTGGCAGGCAGCTGCTGAGCTTTCAGCTGGATCTGATAGTTCTACTGTCTTTGCTGTGTTACTAAATTCAGGCATTTTCATTGCCTGTGCCAAAGAAGTCCACAAGAGAAGCAGATGCTTCACTCCTCCAATTCTGGATGAGGTTCAGGTTCAATGGGTCATGGCTGTGGTATATATCACATGGGCAGACCATATGATAATGTATTCTCCTTATGACAGCACGTACCCTATGGGCATATATCTTGTGAATGGACCTTGATGCAGCATGCACCCCCCATGGGAGGATCAGCACAGCCCTGCCCACTCACTGGAGATCCTTGTGGTTGCCTTTCATTTCCATCATTCCAATTTGAATAGTCCACTGTTTTGGAGGCACCTGAGCTGCACCATTTGTTGGTGGAGTTGCCACTACACCTGTCACCGCAGACTGTTTTCTCTCTAAAGGCCAGTTTGAAGTGACTACTCACAGAAATTGTGTTAGGAAGGGCATGGCTACCATGAGAGTAATGCCTCCTAATCTGCAGAGATATTTCCAGTCCTTTCCTGATCCTTGAACTCTGCCTAATGGATTGCCTAATTT